AAGGGGAAGAGCAGGACTGTTCCGGAAGGCCACCCTCACCGGGGCTGTTGGATGACTCCAGGGTGGGTGCTACCGCCCATGCCAGGCAGACCAACTCAGGGCAGCCCTCGGCCCCCATCCCGGGCAGGCCCGGCCCCAGGAGGACCGTGTCTTCAGGGCCGCTCTCCAGTCTTCCTCAGTCTTCTTCTGGAATTGGGCCCACCTCCCCGATTCGACCCCGGCCAAGTGGAACGGATTCTGCGTCCCGGGGCCTCCTGAGCGCCGAACGAGATCTTGACTGCAGCCCCGCTCTAACCCGCTCTTCACGGTGGGTGGTGATGGGGCCTTGATTTGCTGAGTGACTCAGCTGAGTCACCACCTGCACACAATATGAGACATAAAACGCTGGCCACGCTCGGGCGCCCAGCGCAGCCCCTGCTCCCCGGGCCGGTGACATGGGCCGCTCCCCGCAGGCGGCTCCGGCACCCCGGGAGGTCCTGCCTGGAAGGGAGCTGCTCGGTGCCAGGCCCTGCACAGGGTGGGCCTGGGGGCTGCATGGAGGCCAAGGAGGCACAGCAGCAGCACGTTCCGCTGGGGGAAATCTGCCCGTGAGGGGCCTGCTAGGGTCACAGGTGGGGGACAGCGGAGCTGCACCAGGAGCCGCTGGGGCGCCGCGCGGCCGAGCGGACCCAGCGCTGCCACCAACACCAGGGGCTCCCTTTACCCCCAGGCAGCCCGCTGGGGGTCCTCTGCACCGCCCCCCAGACTGGCCTGGAGTGGCTACACAGCCTCCTCGCCTTCGTCTGATGGCCCCAGCAGCAAGGCTCGGAGCCCGTCTCCTGAGGGAGGTGCGTCTGTGAGTCTGGGCAGCAGGCACAGGGTTGGAGGCCTGGGGGTCAGATGGCATCCGCCTCTGGTGGCCGTGTGACCTCTGTCCCTCTGCTGCTCCATCTGTAAAGGGGGCATTGTGTCAGTGTGGGGTCCGGAACACAGGACCTCGGGATGTGACCGTATGTGGAAACGGGGGCGTTTAAGGAGTCGTTAAATGTAAAGGGGGCCGTGAGAGTGGGCCGTAATCCAATCTGACTGTGTCCTTGTGGGCACAGGGGCCCCAGGGATGTGCACACACAGAGGACGCGGCCAGCACGCCAAGGACAGAGGCCTTGGGAAAAGCCAACCCTTGATCTTGGAGGTCCAGCCTCTAGAACTGTGAGCAACAGATGTCTGTGCTTCAAGCCCCGCCCGCCGTCCATGGAACCCATTATAGCAGCTGAGCAGACGAATACACCGTGGGTCCCGGGTCGCCCTGTCACCTCCAGGGCTCCTGGCCACAGGACCTGCAGGTTTCAGAGCTGCACTGTGTCAGGGCCACACCCGGGCTGGGGGAACCTCTGCAGCAGCTGAGCGCTCTGTGCCCTAAACCCACAGGGGAGCCATCTTATCTGCAGCCTGGCCTCACCCGTGCCTGGTCCCCAGTGCTCGGGGATGGAAGGACCTCACTCTAAAGGGAATCCCACCTGTGTCTTCCCACAAGCCCCTGCTGCCTCTGTAGCCCAAGGCATCTGGAAACAAAGTCAGAGGTCGTCCACCGGCCGCAGGCTCCCTCAACAAGTAAGCCCAGGCCCACACTCCCTCTGATGGGGAGGGAGAAGCGTGGGCTCAGGAAGGAAAAGTCACAAGTTGGTGTCTGGAAATACCCTGTCTCCCTCATGCGATGCCTTGGGGGACACATTCGGATTCTCACGTGTTTCCCTTAGGATGGGGATTGCCGTAAACAAGACAGTCTCTCGTGTGTGAGAATCCTGTTCTATCGTGTGGTAGCGCTGTGCTGGTGTGGCAGTGCCGTCGTCATTAGGGACAGGGCTTGTTTTGTCTTTCTGTTTGACCATCCTTGTTGACTAGCTTCCCAAAGCCACCTCATCATCCAAGCTGGCTGCTGGAGTCAGTCATCACATCTGCATTCCAGGAAGCAGGAAGGAGAAGGCAGGAGGACAAAGGAGCACATCTCCGAGCTCAGTCAGCTCCCTTTAAGCAGCCTGTGCTGAAGAAAGTCTCATACTCCTACTAACATCCCAATGACCAGGAATTTGTCACCTGAGTGAATGTGAAGGGGCAGGAATGTCACCTTCTATCTGGCGCTTCACTGACCCTTCAAACATCCTGATGCAGTTACTGAGGGAGGGAAAATGAATACCACGTGGCCACCGGTCACCCGCAGCCCTGTGTCACTGATGAGGAAACCGAGGGTCAGAGAGGCATGATGTCAAGGTCCACAGGCTGTGAACAGCAGGAGGCCGTAAGATTGGAACGTGGAGCCAATATGGTGGACTCGTCATCCAGAACACCCCACATCCTGGCCAGTGTTTGGCATGAGGTCTGTTCCCACCCAGACGCAGCACACGGGGTGCAGTTCCAGAAGAACAGACATGAGCACGGACTTGTGGTGGAACAACCGACAATCTGAACAGCACACGGCACTGGTGAGGCTGTGTTCACAGGGGTCAAAACTGGTACAGCCTCTTTGCAGGGTGTGTCTGTTCAGATTAGGTTCGATTATGAGTGAGAGAAAAATCCAAAGTGGTTTAAGAAAGACAGATGTTTACTTCTCTCTCACGTCCAACAAGTCGTCCAAAGGAGGAAGTCCAGGGCTGTTAGGGGTGCACTAGTGTCGGGGACCTCGTCTGCTTCCACCTTGTCTCTCTGCCATGAGAGGCTCCCATTCCAAGATCCCCCGATGATTCAAGATGGCTGCTACAACTCCAGCCATCACAACCGCATCCCAGTTTGCAAGAAAGAAAAGCCTATCCTTTCTCTTCAAGGAAGCTGCACACGCACTTACATCCCACTGGCCAGGACCTGCAAGGAAGGCTGGAAAATGCAGTCTTTGTTCCAGGCAGCTGTGTATCCAGCTACGAATCAGGTATCCTATGACAGCGGAAGGAAAGGAGGACATGTACTGGAGGACGGCGATTCGTCTCGCCGGAAGACTGCGAGACTAATTAACTAACTAGTTAAGGCTGTGCTACAGCAATCACCTGTGTGAGTTATTTGTAAGGATTTTGGTTGCTGCCATTGTTTGTTGTTGCAAAACAGATTAGGAACCAAGGTCCCTCCCAAGGGGACTGGGTAAATCAATTGCCACGTATCCAGAACGTTTGCAGCTCTCCCACCTGACGTGGAATGAGCTCAAGACCAGGTGTTAGCGTGGGAAACGAACTACAGACATTCACGTTCCCAAACTCGGGGTAACGTGCATACACGCGTGTGAACACAGGTGCTCCTGGAAGGCCAGGAAGACCCCGGCCTTGCGGTGCTTCTGGGGACGGGGGCAGGGAGACGGGGTCAGAGCAGCGGAGGTTCCCCCCAGCCTCCACGGTCCACCAGCTGCCCTGCAGCGGGCGCCAGGCCTCCCGTGCTGCCCCCTCTACCGAGTCACCACACGGAGTCAACGCAGGCTGCCGCCGTGCCGTCTTAGACGCAGCCCGTCAACGCTGCCGATGGCGAACCCAGCTCTGGATCTGAGGATCAGTTCCTCCCTGTCTGGCCCCCCGACACCTGCCCGGCTCGGAATGTCTCGCTGGCTGCCCTCCCCACCTAACAGGCTTCTGTGAGAGCCGTGGGGTGGCAGCCAGGCCGGGCACGGCGAGGAGCCTGCCTCAAGAGCACCCTGGTAGCCCCGCGGGCCCCGGAGTCCAGCTCGCTGGCTGTGCCCACGCCTGCTGACAGCCCTGGATCCGGGGAGCCTGGCCGCTGGCCCCCCAGTCATGAGCGTGTTGGAGCTGGTGCCCTCGGTGCCCTCCTGAGAAAGAAGGTGGGCAGTGGAGGTGGAGCGCGGCCTGGCCCTCAGCACCCCAGGGCCCCGGGCTTTATTCGGACCGGTCCCCACTTTCAGCTCATCACACCCATGATCATGAACGTCAGTCCCCGCATCCTACCTTCTGAGGGCCTACTACGTGCCGAGCGCTATTCTGGTCCCTAAAAATAACGCGTGTGGTCACCGTCGCTCCACCACCACGTGCCAGCCAGCCACACCTGCTCTCCGCTAACCCTTACGAACATCCCTGCGAGACAGGCCTTCTTATCCCCATCTCACAGAGGCGGAAACGGAAGCTGCAGGAGGGGAATGCTGCCCGGGATAACAGAGCGTGAGGGGCAGACAGGACAGCGCGCGGGAACCACAGTTCTTTCCACAGCCGTCCCCTCTGCTCCGACGGGGCCTCGCAGCAGGTACGACGGGCTCCCAGTGCAGAGGGGCACCCCGGCCCCGGTATCCCCGCACAGCCTTCACGTCAACACCTTCTAAGCTCCTTTTCCTTTTTATTAGAAAACAGATCAAGAAAATATACACACTTCAGCCCATCCGCCAGAGTGGGCTTTGTGTGTGTGTGGGGGGGGGGGGGCGGTCTCCCGAGCATACGGGCTGTTGGAGGAGGCCTCGGTTACAGTCCAAGTCACTACCTTGATTTACAGAAGGTCTCACCGCCACCAGCGAGACCTTCAGTTT